GGATGGACTAGGCCAAGGATTGGAGCCCTTCATAAAGCTGCGCTCGTCTCTTGGCTTTCTACAAGCTTCTCTCAATTTCACACCCTCTCACACTTCTTTTACATCATGGTTCGTTAAGTATTCTCACGACATATTGCCCATGGGAAACTAAACAGCTTAGTAGTCTCAAATCGGAGACTTGCCGCCAGAAATAGTGTTGATGATTGCCACATACCTACATGGTAGCGCAAAGTTCGCTCTTGCAAGATCCTGCAGATCGCTGAACCACCTTCTACGAACGGGAATTCTCCAATTCAACATCGAATATCAGAACAGCAATCTTCTTGGCCTAGCCGCCAAAGATGACAATGTTGATCTTACGCTCATGTTGCTTCATCAGGGAGCAAACGTCAATGCCTTCTTTCGTGGGAGAACCCCGGTTATGAGGGCCCTCAACTATTCTTCATCCGCCGTGCTCAAGCTCCTCCTGAAAAGTAGTGGGCTAGATATCAATGTCCAAAACCGTGAGCACGAAAGCGCCTTGTGGTGTGCGGTCAAATATGGCTCATGCTCGACGCTGCGGGCCATATTGGAACTAACGGACTGTGCAGTCGATCTTCGGCATCAGAGGCCAAACCGCACTCCACCTCGCCGTCTGGTGGGGCAAAATTGGATTGGCGGAGCTGTTGCTGTCCAAAGGCAGTGACCCCTACTTGCCCGACGAAACTGGCAGTTCGCCCTGGGCATGGGCCGCCCGATATAACCGGCCGTCTATGAGGGCCGTATTTCTCAAGGGGCAAGACTATTTTCACCTAGTGCAAAATAATTTCGATGAGCCAGCGCTGCATCAGGCGATTCTTCATGGATCGGTGGCTGCTGTGAATGTGCTCTTGAGACAAAAACGTCCTGGTGTGGCGATGATCGATAGCCATGGTGCGACAGCACTCCATCTTGCTGTCCGCGGTCAACGCTTGGAAATGGTTGACCTCCTTCTCTAGCATCCTCATTCTGACGTGAACTGTGTGGATAATGCTGGAAAGACCCCGCTCTGGTGGTCTCCGTGTCTGTCATATGACGAGATAACGGAAAGGCTACTCGCTGTAAAGAGCATTGATGCCAACTTCATCGGCGGCTCCGGTCGGCTAGGCACACCCTCGGCACCACTACACCATGCCGCGACTCGGTTGGATACCACGATTTTGGAGCAGCTGCTGGCGGCTCCAGGTATCGATCTGAATATCTACGCTGCAAGACAGACCCCTTTTTCTGCCGCCGCTGCTGCCGGCCGAGTGAGCGCAATGAGAATCCTTATGAGTCAGAGGGGCGTCGAAATCAACACGGGTGGAATTTTAATGAATTCTCCTCTATGCCAAGCGGCGGTAGGAGGCCACTTGGAGGCGGTGAGACTGTTAGTGCAGCAAGGACAGCGACTCAGAATCAACCAAGGAACCTTGACGGCGCATGACACGGCTCTGGGGATTGCCGCCCGTGCGGGTGACCTGGAAATAGTCCAGACTCTGTTAAGACACAAAAGGATTGACCCCAACCTGGAGAACCGATGGCTGGAGTCTCCGTTGGTGTTGGCAGTCAAAGGCGCCCATGTCCCTGTCGTCGACGCTCTGCTGGCAGATCCAAGGGTGGATACGTTCAGTTTGCGAGTCGCACGAGCAATCGCGACACACGAGGGTATCCGAAGGGCCATTCAGTATGAAATGGATGATCGCAGAGCCCGCTGTGAATGGATTAAGGCACACTGATCCCTGGCATAGTGGACGCGGGTAGTCTGCGTGGACGGGTGCTGAGGTAGTGCTGCTTGAGGTGCTGAATATGGGCTACAGAAAAGTGCCAACCAGCATTGATACACGATGCGCAACGTGCACTGCAGCGTATCGCGAGCATGAAAGGAAGATAACCATTGATCTCACAATACGTGGTGGTAACCAGATTGCCTTGAGAAGCTGCAGAAAATGCGTTGCTCTTGCCACGGGGTTTTCAACGTCGTGCATCAAAGGTTAGAACGTGCGTGGACTGTCTGTCAACGCAACACGGGTGACGAAGGGCCCAGGATATTTGATGGCAGGGATTTTCTCTCCCAGATTAATATGCTCCTTCCAGATTAATATGCTCTATTTAAAATCTATGGAAACCCGCTCTGTTGTGCACGCTCAATTTTCTCCCATTCTTCCCTAATGAATCCACTCGCGGCATCATCTTCACCAGCCGACCGGCCAGCCAAGAGACAGCGAAGACTCTCCGAGGACACTTGCGACGACCCGAACGCAGAGGATATTTCACCCGCCTCAGGCTCTACCGCAGTGAGCAACCTCCCTACGACGCAACTTGAGCAAATCCTGCGCCGCAATAGCGACCTCGCCCTACCGGCCCTAAGACTCTTGGATTTGTATCTATGTCTATGGGAAAGTTATGTTGTGAAATCGGCGGAGAGCATCCGGCTCGAAGATGAGCGGCGTCAGATGTGCGAGTTAAACGAATTGCTGGAAGAAGAGACCGATAGTCTCCTCCAATGCTGCAACCGGCAGGGAGTGGAGTTAGAGAGTCGAAAACGGACAGTGAAAGCATTCCATGTGAATGTCATATCGGTCTTGCAAACCATCGACCTTCCTTACTATCATATTGATAGGCCTTGATTCATGCACAGAGCCATACGTCCTTTGTCCGTTTAGAGATATATATTCTTTTCGATAGTACAACTTCAGCTGGAACTTCCATGGAAATGTGATTTACTGTACCATGTATGTGAAGCAAAGCGAAGCTCTACGACCCCATCATTCGCTGTCTTGTGATGTTTCTTAAATAGCTTCCATGGCCTCAATTCTCAGCCACCTATAAGCTACTTATATCTTGTACTGTAACAATGTGATTTCTTATCAATGTATGGTTCCCTTTCACATAGGGATCTTCCATCGGCAAACATGAACAGTCTGGTTTTCTTCTTACAGCTATTATCGAATCAACCGCCCAACCTATCTTTTCGGCTATCTCCAAAAATGTCATCATTTATGATACAGTGTGACGTGAGATCGAATGGATCCGACTTTGAATATCAATGGGCAAAACATAAAATTGGACAAACACCACAACTTACTTGACTATCTCGTAGGTACAGTGAAAGATCAATTGACCAGGATTCTATCACTGACCTCGCTCACAATTCATTAGCCCTGCCACTTGGCCTTCCGAGCACTGCTCCCAATCATTGAGAATGCTGATCAATCGCTCCCGAGACGCCTCCAATGCTTGGTTCAGATGATCGAACTGAGATAGCTGCTCATCATGATGAGCCAGAAGCAGCCCCTTTTCATTTTCCAATCGTGTATTCTCCCTTTTCAACTCCTGGTTGGTTTGACGGAGTTTCTCACTGCCGGTATGTTTCGACATGCATGAATCCCAAAGTCCCACTACTCTAAGCGACGACCTTTTTTACTAACACAAGTTCAATCATTCCTTGACGAGATTCTGCGGTCGAATAGCCCACGTTCAGAATTCCAGTGCTTGATCACATCAACACGTCAACTCGATTCCAGCCTTTCGCCACTCAGAAATCGCATACCCCAGGATGCCCAAAAAAATCATCTTCAAAGCATCATCCGGAATTGCGTCAAACTATCCCGCATTGGAGAACCAGTTCTGCTGGAAGGTCATCTTATACAGCTGCAGCTCGCCCCTCGGCTTCGAAAACGGAACGATATACGTCAGATCGATAAGCTTGCACGGTACTACTACGTCTGTAGAGATTTCATCAGGCTTGCTAGGTATTCGGAATACCGCCAATTGTTTTCAAACATTTGCGTTGAGCCACTTGAGTCTTTTCCAGGTATGAAGCCGGCAGGTGCTTCTTGTCTATGCTTCGTTCATGCCGAATGCAGCAAATTATTCACTATACGCATCATCCTCACTTCCCCAACCCGCGTTCCATTGGTTGCAGTAAATCTGCGTGCTATCTTTGCGATATGTTTATACAAAAGCAAGGCTTGTATCAAGTTTCTCATGCACACCGACGACTCTATGAGAAATGGACTTTACCAGATCTGGACTGCTCGATCTCCCTTCAGGCACAGTTTTTCCCTGAAATCCTGAGGCACATGGCAGCGGAATTGACCAATACGAACCGCCGTCTTTGTCTTCAACGCTACAAACCTCCTAAACAGTACCAGACTGAAAGCAGAGCATTTCTTCCTCTTTCAAGCGGATCGACGCCGAGCAATGTCTCCGGAATTCGAACTGAGCATCTAACACCGGCCTTGCAGCCTGAAGTCCCTACTCAATCATCTGGCAGCGGCAGACCTTTATCTTTGAATTTGAAATACCCGGGTCTGTTACTATTAGATGTATTTCAGATGAGTTACGGTCTACGGATTCCATTGATATTGGACAAATCTCTTGGAGGAAAACCAGAATAAGACGGCGAACGATCTCCGAAAATTTGGAGGTTCACTTGCATCGCTCCCGGAACTTGTCTTTGGTAATGGGCTTTACCTGGAAAACAGTATGATGTTGATTCTGTCGTGAGCTTAGAGCTTCGAGAACTCTTTTTCTAGATGTTGGTATCACCAGCTAGGTCCTGTGTACACAGTTAAGTGAACAGTTTATGCTTCTAAAGCAAAGGTTGATTGATTCGTGTATATGATAGATGTGTCCGGTCAAGGCCAAATACCCCTGAATCCATGCGGTGGGAGCCGCAGCTTAGCAAGATTACGTACAGCATGTCTTTGCTTATTCTGACGGGAGGATATATACCGACACTGGCAACTTTTCTTTTGTGCAAAGGCCCAGTGTCCCCAAGTAGGAAATGGGCGAAGTAGGAAATGGACGAAGTAGGAAATGGACGAAGTAGGAAATGGACGAAGTAGGAAATGAACGAACGAACAAAACGAACGAACAAAACGAACGAACAAAACGAACGAACAAAACGAATAAAGCGAACGAGCAAAAGCGAACGAACAAAAACGACTTCGATCATACTGTACCTTCCTTGCATCTGTAGGTCTCACGATACCATCCTATTGTCTCTCCACCCACCCCTCAACTCGCACTCGTAAGGTGTTTGTGCTGATGAACTTCTCCAAGGCCTTGTTGGGGTCTGCTTTGGTCATTGCATCCGCTGGGTTGTCGCTCCCGTTGATCCACCTTATTTCCATTATCTCTCTTCGCTCGTATGACTGGCGAAGTGCCATGATGTCGATCATGAGGCGCTTCTCCTTGGTGGTTCCGAGTTTGACGAGGCATTCGTAGAGAGAGTATGAATCCGTACATACAATGGTAGGGATCTTCTCAAAACCAAGTTGGTCCATGATCATCTTGATTGTTGTGCCGATTGCAATTGCCATGTCGACACCTCCCACCATCCCATAGATCTCCGATGCCAGGACGCTCCTGGTGACGCGTTTGCTCTTGGTTGAGCTCCAATGGATTAAGTTTCCGGTGATCTCAAATTCCTCATTCTTTGTGGACTCGTTTGCGAGGATGATCTCATATCCGATCTGGGAGCTGAAATCTTTGTTGTTTGCGAATGATCCATCGACGAATACGAAGAGCTTCGCAGTTGATAGGTCTATCGCGATGTATTTGATGCCCCTGTCCAGGTTCTTCATTTGCCACATGATGCGTTTGTTCAACGCGTTGACGTCGGCTTCCGTAGGATCCTGGTGTTGGGCGGCAACGGATAGGTCGAATGCAGCTTCCGGCTGGCAGATCGTTGCAATGTACGCCCCGCGAGCACGTTGTTCCATGTATACGTGCTTGAAATCCGTAGATTTGTGGTCGATGGGCTTGAGTCTCTTACCCTGCTCCTTCTGGCGTAACTCAACGGCAACGTCTCCATCATTTTGTGTCAGGACGCAGCCATTGAATATCAGCGGGCCCTCTGGAGATAGTGTATCCTTGGGCTTAGCGCTGAACTTTGCCTCCACTAATTCCTTTTCTTCAAGCTTGGCAAACTCGTCGGACCCTAAAATCAGAGTGTCATCGGTTTGCATTCCGACAACACCGAAAGCTCCTTTCGCTGTTGAGATCAACAAGCATGGGTCGTAAGTAGATGTGACCATCCCGAGCCTTTCCCGGTGGTGCTTGTGGTACGTTGCCCACCAATGGGTTCCGGCTTCAGGGATTCCATATAACGGCTTCCGCACTACCATGATTGTGCCTGTCGGGAACTCGCTCTTGGTCTCCTTAGGGAGATGTGCCAGAATCAGTCGGTTCAATGAGGTCGTTGACTGGACATATGCCTGTGTAATGTCCCGGATCGACAGACTGATGCCCTTCTCTCTCAGTGACGGGGCCAGTGCAACGATAACTCGTTGGCTGGCTCGCTGGATGGTTGGGGATTGCGTGAGAATCATCCCCTTTCCTTCATCATTGTAGGCCTGGATAACAAGTCGTGACTTCTCGAAGGGCGCACCCGTAGCCTTGCCCTTGATCTCGTTGACTAGGCGCGAATTGAAGATGCGTATGCCAGCGTGCTTGATTGGGTCGTATTGTACGAAGTCGAACACGCCTCTCGCTATCAGTCCATCAATCTCCTCTTTCCGAGATTGATCGAATGGTAATCCTGGGGTTGTGATGACCCCTTCGCTCCTCAACTTGATAGACAGTTCCATATCGGCTCGTTCCTTGTTTGTCATGAGCGCCATTGAGACATCCTGTTCTTCCAGGATAGTATTGATGAACTGATCCTCGAGATCTTGAGGATTAGCAGCATTCTGTCGAGTGCTCCGCCGCACGGTTACCTGCGGCTTCGGCTTGTTCTTCGATCCTGGCGGTCGTCCTCGGCCTCGCCGTTGGGTCTCAGTCGGTTTGTCGGGCTCTTCCGTGTTTTTCGCATCAACGGTTTTATCCTCTTGGTCACCGTCTTCCCTCACATGTCGTTGTCCTCTTTCCGCCTCTGAGCACTCTTCCCTGTAGTAGGGCTTGACAATGGTTGACCGGAAATTCGTAGGACCGTGTGGCATATCAACGGTGCAAGTCTCTCCATTCACCGCTAAGAGCTTGTATGGGCCCTTCCATCCACCTTTCTCGCGCCAGACTCGAACATCTGATTGTAATGGTAGGTTCAACGTAGTGATGATATTGGGCCCGTTGCGGATGGCAAGAGCATCATTCACCTGGCGTTCCGCATGTAGGCGACGGACCTCTTTGGTTGCAGCACGGATAGCCTCAGCTCTCTTGACTACCGAGGGTGATGGTGGATCCATTTCGGTCATTCTCGGGTATGCCCAAAGACAAGCAATGTTGGAATAATTCCATCCGGTCCGGCTGAGTCGTTGATAGCTTTCACAGCCATCTGCAGAATCATTTCCCTGTCAATATTCTCGTCCTTGAGCTCTTCCTGAGAATTTCGTAGGCGCGGCGCAGTGGTGCATGGTATCGTTCCACTTTCCCTACGCTGTTGTGGGCTTCCACGGGGACCTCCTTGATCTTGATCGACATTGAAGATGCAAGCTGCTTGAACTCTGTAGATATGAAGTTCTTCCCCGCGTCGTGTACAACATAGTCCGGTGGTCCCTGGTAGGTATCGATCCAGCATGCACGAAGTGTGTCCCAAGAATTGCGTGCAGACATATCTCTCAGAAATCTCGCAGCGCCAAACGATGTGGCTGCATCGATGACTTGTAAAACGGGTTTTCCTTCGAGGTATAAGACGTCGACGATAACTGAGTAGTTGAATTCATAGTCATCTTTCAGGGTAAACTTGAATCGTCCTGGGGATTTACCTTTCATCTGGCAATGGTGGCAGAATTTCGTGAGATAGTCCACGCACTGTGAATTTACGTCGTGCCCAGCGCGTTGAAGGATTCGAGTTAATCTCCGCACTGATGGGTGTCCGAAACGTCGGTGGAGTTGTCGTAGTTCCGTTTCGGTAAGGTGGCTCCATGCTGCTATCTCCTCTAGATTGTGCAGCAACATCCATGGGTGTCCCCATTTACGTACGATGGGTACTCTCTTGTCTCCTCTCTCGAGCACGTTTTTCTTGTTTCGGAGCTCCACCCCCATAGCATCCATGTCCTTGAGGCAGAAGAGGAATGGTGTGTTCGTGGGTAGGATATGAAACGTAATGGTGCCAATCGGGGTATCGACATCAGCAGTCCCTAAAGAGGGTTTTGGATCCCCGTCTCCGAATTTGATCTTCTGTTCCGCAGCCCGAAATGTATTAAGCTTGACTTTGGGGTCAAGCTTGCATAATGCCCTGAATTGAGGTTCTCCAGCGGACGAAACCCCAGAGGCTCCAGTGTCTGGCATGATGCCTTGGAACGTGTCGGATGAATATCGGTTATCGAGTGTGAACACTTCCATAGCCTGCCCGTCGGCTTGTCGCTGCTGAAAAATGTCGTCCTTGGTGAAGAAGTGGTATACTGCCTGATCGTTCAGGATGGATATCATTCTTGTTCCATCGACTTCTCCGAGTTCAGTCACGAACCCCTCGTGCTTATCATCCTCAATAGTTATAGTTGCAAGCATCTGGGTAGGGTCATGACTATCGCTGTCGTCTAGCCCTTCGATCTTCTCCGTGCCTTCAAAGTCGCTGATGAACATTTGGAAGGCCTGTGGGGTGGCTGTCTGGCCCGTCGTAAAGTAGTGTTGCTGGCGGAAATTGTCGAGGGATCGTTTTCGTTCTTCTCCGGTATGATACTTCGACCAGCATCCTGGTCGTCCACAGATATAGCATCTCCCTTGGCGGGATCCTTGATTGCCCCGTGGACTTCCGCGGTAGCCTCCTCGCGGTCCTGATCCACGAAAGGGAGTGAGTTCACGGTTGCTCCCGTATCCATAGCTTCCTCTGCGCTGGTTGTAACCTCCACGGCTGTACCCGCGACCTCTCCCTCCGTATGTGCGGTCAGTCCAATGTTGATCATATACGTCGTACTCCTCATGAGCTTGAAATTGCCCCGACTGTGATGAAAGAGTCGCATTGGCAACTGCTGATCGCAGTTCAGCTTGTACTCCTTCCAAGGTGCTCGCCGGCCTATATATAGAGAATTTGCATTCCTCGACACCTCTGCAGGCATTTATAGTTTGTTCCCGTAGGGTCGTCTCCGACCGGTGTTCTGGGGGCAATCCTGGCTGGATCTTCTCGAGTGTTTCGAACAGTATCTCGAGGCATTCCGAGCGCGACTTCTCCGGATTCTGTGCAATTATTCTCGGAAAGGTGGCCTCTCTCCATTCAGTGATAGATCTTTGACGGTTTTCTTCTGTGTCAAAGTGGGCCCTCATCATCTCTACCATTGTCGGAAAATCTTTTGCCTTCCCCTTGATCCTTGTGAAATAAAACTTCTCTGCTTTCCCTTTGAGCATAAGCGAGAACGCAATATGGAATTGATGTTCCCGTAGGCCGATCTTTTCACAGATGTCGTAGAACCTGACCAATTTCGTGTTGAGGTCGTCATACAGTCCTCCACCGTACTTGTCGTCCGTATTACTATATTGCCTCGTGATTGCTTCGACCATTCTCGGTAGCGGCATATCTTGGGTATTTTGTTGGGCTCTGTCGTGACTAGGTTGTTGCTGTATGTGGCTACCCGTATAGGCTGTGTCAAGCGTTGTGGATCTGGCTTCTTCCCATCCATGGTCGGTTCGCTCGACGTGTGGTTTCGCAATACTAGGTTGTGGGGTTTGGAGATCTGGTGGGTTTACCGAAATAGCTCGTGCTGCTGGGGCATTTAGGTGGATAGTCGATGATTGGCCGCGTGCAGGGTTCCATCTGGAGTTGAAGTTATCTGGGTGCTCTTTCAGATGGGCCTCGATGTCTTCTTTAGTCCATTCGTGTTGAGTGTCCTCCTGGAGACAGTCATACAATCCCTTCGCGTATGATACCCCTATAGCTATCTTGATCCATACTCCATTGGTTGTCAAATGAAGTCGAAGCATCTTTAATGCGGTTTTGCTTGCCACCTTCAATGTGTCCTGAGTCCATCCATCGAATTCTTCGCGAAAATCGTTCCATAGGGCACGGTCGGTAATGCGCATCATGTTCCATGCCCGTAGTACACAAGTTATATGGCCGTTTAGTATTCCTTCCGTTTGGTTCTTTTCATCCAGTGTATCGACGGATTTCCCCCATGTCTTCTCCTCGATGGGATACGGGAGGTTGTCCGGGATTGGCAGCATGGCTGTTCAGGCGAGGGTAACAGTGGGTGGAATGGATCAACGAATTGAGTGTTAGGTTGCGTGTCGTGACGGTACTGCAAGTGTTTCCCGTTAACGCCTTGTTCGCGTGATTGGACGCAGATCTTCGTTGCGGTTTCAACTGTAGATCTTTTGGAAATCCTCCGTGTCTCAAAGATACTGCATCCGTTTCCCAGTGAGATACTTTGATATCCTTTAGCACACCTTCCGCAATGAGGGTACTGCAACCGTTTCCCCGTTCCCTTGCGGTCAATGCCTCTTCCAGGTCGTGTAAACCGAGCTGTTCTGTGGTTGTAATCAACCACTGATCAGTGTTGGTATCACCAGCTAGGTCCTGTGTACACAGTTAAGTGAACAGTTTATGCTTCTAAAGCAAAGGTTGATTGATTCGTGTATATGATAGATGTGTCCGGTCAAGGCCAAATACCCCTGAATCCATGCGGTGGGAGCCGCAGCTTAGCAAGATTACGTACAGCATGTCTTTGCTTATTCTGACGGGAGGATATATACCGACACTAGAAATTCTATCAAGGTTGCCCAATTTATCACATAAGCCTATCAAATCTGTTGTCATAGATTATTTAGACAATTTGGTGGGTCGTCCAATATATTTCAGCTACATGGAGAGAAGTAGATCTTTACTTCGAGAGTGTACAGAAGCCCCCAGGTAAATATCAGAGAAGGAGAAAGAGAGACAAGACAAAAATTTATCTGAAAAACCTGTCAAATGGGGCAGATACATACGTCACTATGCAAAGTCACTCACATACATGCGACTCGGGACTCCATCTCATGCGAAACCCTGAAAAAAGATGAAGTGAAGAATTTGAATGTGATCCGGCCGAGCCCGCTGCCTCGTCTCTGGTTTGCCTGCGTCGATGCCAGACCTATGCCAACGCCAGACTACATTGACGGCAAGTCTCTACCACCCTCAGTCATCAGAGAACAAACTTACACGGAGAGACAATGAAACACAGCCCCTGATTCGACGGTTCCCACGAGCCCGGCCGGGGTACTATTCGCGGCTAGTATCAGGGGATTTCATTTAGGCCACGAGCACGGTGAGTTGCGAGCCACCACCTTGCGCCAGCTGCTGAGAACGGGTGCTAGATCAAATGTATCTTACAGTAAATTGCTTTGGCTGTGTCCCAGTGCAGACGGCGATTCAAAGCTGGTCAGTACGTTCTCATCAGCGAAAGAGATTTAGATGACTAACCGACCATTTTGCCCAGTCGCTGATATGAAGATGGCTATTTCTTCCCATATGTGGCCGAAAACCGATCGAATGCTCCCTCCTCGGTATCATTACCGAACGCCACGAACTCATCAGTAGAAGCAGCCCCTTAAACTACGGCCAGTCGATTGCCGCGACGTAATTTGCTCAATCATTACTCGAAAGATGCCAGGTCGGTTTATCATAACTTGTGGATAAGACGTAGTTATTGGCTCACAAATAGCCGTCATGTTTTCGTAAATGTCAAATATCACGTGCTCTCGGCCCGAGACGCTGCGACGCACGGCCTGGTCGCCTCTGGCACATGCCCGAATACCGCCGGATACTGCCTTGATCCGGCATGCTCAAGAAATGTGATTTCATTGTCATCACGAAGTAGCCAAGAGGTAAAAATCATCCGTAGAAAACACGAGATCACCCGGAAAACCAAGCAGGTTTTAATCAGTCTTTCTGATGAAGGGTCATTTGAATGTATCCCGCAGGAATCGACTCTGGGCCGTTATTAGAAAGCCAATGTTGCAAATTCCATTAGACCACAAAATGAGACGTGCTGGCGCGCGAATTTTGCTTAAATATACGCGCGATTTTCCAAGTAATCATACTGTCCCCGCCGTTCTTCCGCGCATACATCCAGCCGGATCAGCGTTACGAGCTCCACAAGTTCCTCTCATTCGATCAGGCCGACACAAAATGATATCTGAAATATGCTCGGAAGAGTCAAACTTTCTATCCCTGTTAGTCTGGTGGTGTGTTCCCGATTTCACCGCCGATAATGTACATAATATCGCTGATCTAGCGATATATATTTATGAGCTATTAAGCTGCACGTACATAGCGATCCTGCATCAGAAATAGAATACCGCTAAAGGCTACGAGATGAAGTTTGAGCTGAGAGGAATTCGTATAGAAAACCGATCGGCGTATGTACTACAATATCGAATTCCATCTGAAGAAATCATCATTTCGCACTTTTTATCAACTTTTGCATTCGCGAGGGAACGAAGATCCTCACGATGACGGCACTTCACCGCCCGGGAGTCACCCGCACTGCAACGATTCACATGTTCGGTCCCTTCACCATCATAACCAATTCTCAACCGTGACTCACCTCCAGGTTTTTTCCCAGTCATTTCCCGAATATTCGCTCAGCGGCTTAATCTTTATTTGCTCATCTCAAATGAGAATGGTGAATCCACTTTTGCGGAGTCGATTGGACATGTTGGCCGAAGTCAGCAACCGGCGGTATTGAAATTGATGGTTATCGCGGGCCTGCCGCACCAGACGCATGCTCCGAAGGGCACAAGGCAGTGGGTGCACTGACGCGTCGCAGCGCGTCGCGTAGAAAACATGTGCCACGCCCACTCCGAGAGTAACATCAGCGGCTACGTTTGAAGTCGACAAGCACGTCTTCTCCACCAGGTATCACGGACCGACCTGGCATCTTTCGAATAACAATTGGGCCATTGTGACCGTCGCGCAATCGACTGGCCGTACTTGCGAGGCTGCCTCTGCCGGCGAGTCCGTGCCACTTGGTGGTGATATCGAGGAGGCATTCGGTCGGGTTGCGGCTGCCTTGAGCATAGCACCGGGAGAAAATAGCCAACTACATTATAGCGATTTGGCAATATGGTCAGTTGGTTACCAAAAATTCTCAGTGATGGGATCGTACTCGCCACCTTCGTTCGCTAAACAGGTCATGGTGGCAGCTTTGATCGCCGTCTACGTTCGGACACGGCCAAGGCAATTTGCCGTTGGATACACTCGATCTAGCACCCATTATCAGCAGCTGGCGCAAGATGGGTGTTCGCAACCCACCGTGCTCATGGCCTAAATGAGATTCCCTTATACCAGCCACAATGCACTCTCATGATCGGAAACTTGGGAACAGCCGAACTAGGGTTATGTTTCACTGCCTATGTCAGCATGATTTCTGATGACTGGGGTTGGTACAGACTTGTCGTCAATGTAGTCTGGCATCAGCATAGACAAACCAGAGACGAGGTAGCGGGCTCAGCCCAATCACACGTGCAGAGGGCCCGGGATCACTCCGTACCGCCGGGAATGTATGTGGGCCATATCTTCCGATGCATAGCCGTTTCGTATTTGCCGTTTCTGCGCCAGGCAAATTTTCAAGCGTGTTAGAAGAAAGTTACACTGGAGGAGAGATCATGGTATTTGGCGTAGGGAATGAAAGACTGCTCTCACGGCGAGAGATCTGGGTAGATCAAGTGCTGTCAAGCCTGGTTGTAGCTGAGCAACTTGACAGCGCTGGTCCTCTGCTCGTGATAGGTAATTTGATGCATCATTGACTGATTCTGCTTTTATAAAAAACGTGGCCTCTCTCAGTGGTCGTCGATGTTAGCTTTCTCTTTGTTGTCATCGGATGCTGCGATGGCTCCCTCAGTTTAGCATGGGACCGGATCATGCCGTCGTCGAGGCTTCGAATAGGATATGGGACAAGAGGTGCAGAGCCGTCTGAGCATGGGGACCTTCCTAGATTTCTTCCTTCAACGTGAGCGAAATGGACGTTTCAAGCAGGTGTCTTGGAACAGTGAAATAGAAACGTACTGGGATTTATTGGTCCGGTCCGACGTGCAACCTAAGTTTTGGGGAGAATGGGGAAGTATGGCTCGGTGTGGCGAGTGCCATCTTGAAATTTGCCCTTTCACTAGAAAGATGCATCAGATAGTTTCCGATAGACAGAGAGCACGACAAGATCAAACCTCAAGAAATAACATCTGCACTGAGATCCAATATGCAGCCCCGGTCGTGGGAAGAGGCAGAGGCAACGCACCAGTATGACTTAAAGGAGATCGAGCGGCTCGTGATCGAGAGTTTGCCCTCCAATATAGGGAGTCGCCAGCACAGGATGAATACTCTCCAAATTGCCGCTGATAAAACCTTACATTGTTGGCTATTGCTGTTCGCTGCATTCTGGCAAGACCGAAGCGACTGCGTAAGGGATGAATTTGGTCTATCATTAATATTAGTAGTGAGCTTATGAAGGCAACTCATAACTCACCGTGCTCGCAGCTGTGATGATTTTTGAGGTCATCCAAGCTCCGTCAAATGGTTTCCTTGAAGAGTAGCGGCGGAAGAGTGATCTTAAGCATATTCCATGTCAGCATGAAGTCAAATGACGGGGCAGCTACATTCACTTGCTGTTTGAAGATTTCAGCATGGACAAGACATCTAGCATAGTATCAGAGGTCAGTTAAATTACAAGTGCAAGTCTTAGATGTCAGTCCATACGAAAGAGTATTTCATCATTGATTTAACGCATCATTCGGAGGCATTGTGTTTTTTCCCTGAAGATCCAGCATATGAATTGCTTCTCTCACTGTTGGTCTCGTTTAAATAGTCGCGAAAATGGCGCGGAGACGCACCGATGCCGCGTATTAACATTCACCACCATGTGTCCGTACGTTATTGCGATGGGTGGGGCGGCAACCTTCACTAACCGATGATGAGCGCATTATTTCACTCGAAAATTGCCCCACCAATAATAAAAACCACCAAGCGATAATTCACTCCGGGCTACCTACTAGCCCAAACGCAGAATGTTCTATATTCAGCAGATACAAGCTACTGTATGATGTAGCTTGGGATTGATTCGCACAGCCCACTTCTCGCCAAAGAGTTCCTTGAATAGTGAGTGAGTTACGAGATCGATCACGTTTTCGTAGAACAACTGTCTCTGCCATCAGCCTCATCTTTGCGTATTACAATATCCACACCGATCTCCTAG